TTTAATTTCACCTAAAACTTTCGTGATTGAGCAATTTGGTCCATTAGCTTTTATATAATTTCAAATTAATCCTTCAAATTTCCAGTTTTATCACATTAGTCCTTCAACCGTATTATTTTTCTGTTATCTTGATTCTAAGACAAATGTGTGTGTATATACATAAGCAGAGGTCTTTGCCCTTAAGAACTACAATTCATTCCTTTCTTCTAAATCAATTTGTTTATTTGCAGAGAAGCATGGAGGATAATCAGATTCAAACGGTTCCATGTGTAAGTATATGTTATTTTATTTATACATACCTATCTATCCATGAATGTTCTTATTAAGTGCATAGACATATAGTTTCTAAATTAATGTAATTACCTAAGATATATGATCATCACCTGCCCCTTCTCCTGTTAAATCTTTTGTTATTTTCTTTTTGTTTCAAAAAAAGGAAAAAGAAAAAAGTTTTATGCATGGTTAAGCATTTTGTACAGAGTAACGCAGGAGTAACCGCATGCATGATTGTGCCTGAGGTTCTTAAAGAAGGTAATTATGAAAGGTGGCGTGTTTTCATGGAACACTATTTAGTGGCTCAAGACCTTTGGGATGTTGTTCTATCAATTGACATGCCTAAAGTAGAAGATCCAAGAGGTTGGGTTAAAAGGAATGCTTTAGCTTTGCATGCAATTAAGATTTCATGTGGAGCACAAAGCTTTGATCGAATTAAGAATATGAATTCAGCTGAAGATGCGTGGAATGCATTGGCTGATTTGCATAAACAACCAGATGTAGATGCAAGTAGAGGAAGCCAAATCAATACAGGTTCAATTCCCATCTTTATCTGTTTAAAACATTTTTCTTAATGTTTATCTTATCTTAATGCCTCAGAAAAATGTTGCTTTTAGTCTTCCAACTTAAGTTAAAAATAACTCTTGATTTGGCCTCCCAAATTAACAAAATTTTGGTTCAAGAAAGGTTTTTACCAAATTAACTCTTTTATTCCCTCTTTGAAATGAAGAAGTTAAGGAAACTTGTATAAGGATATTGGACAACAATAGAAGGGCGGAAATTGTGAGCTCACTCCGTGATCAAGATTGGGATGCCCTAAAAAACTTGGACAGAATAACTGAA